ATTGAATTGAACTGAGGTTTACTGGACGTGGAAGTACAGGGACTTGAATTTTTTTTTTTTCCTGAGGCTTACTCTGTCACCCAGTCAGGAGTATAGTGCAGGATCAAGGTTAAGTACAGCCTTAATCTCCCAGGCTCAAGAGATCCTCTCGCCTAATTTTATTTTATTTATTTATATATTTTTTTCTTTTATAGAGGCAAAGTCTCACTATGTTGCCCAGACTGGTCTCAAACTCCTGGCTCAAGCAATCCACCCCCTTCATCCTCCCAAAGTGCTGGGATTACAGGCATGCGCCACCATGCCCAGCCAGGAATGGAATTTTATTGCTAACTCGGCCATAACTCACTGTATAACCTTTGGCAAATCACTTTTCCTCTCTGGACCCTCGAAAATGATCTGCGTATTCTCCATGTAGATCTGCATATTCTCTATGACCGTTCTCTCCCACTTCTAACATTCTATAAGACTAAGAGTGTACACAGAAAGGTGTGAGCGCTCTTACAATTCATGGCTTCCTGCCTCCAGGCCTCTGAGTCCTACTCTCTTCCCGTTAAGTGATTGACTCACTGTGCTCCTGAGAGTTGAATTGAACTGGCAAAGTCACTTCTTTTGTTCCCAATCTCCCAGTGAAATAAGGGAGTGGCTATATTCAGTCATTCTTTTACCATTTATTGTACTGCCTCTCGTGAACAAGGCCCAGTTTGCAGAGCAGGGTTGATTATCTGTTTTCTAACAAAAGCCAAAGGCCTTTAACTCATGAAAAAATTAGCTAACAGCCATTTACAAATAAAAAGCAATTACATTTGATATATATTTTTAAAAACACTTTCCATTATCTTGCTTTCAGATTCAGTCTTTATTAATAATGTAGTATTATACTGTGCTGAGATGGGGTAGGGTGTGGCAGGCTAAAAAGCTAAAAAGACAACATAGTTCTATCACCAGGAACTTAAGAGTCCAGCGAGGAAATGGTTCATTTGTTCTCCGTCCATATGGAGAGGGACAGGCAGACAAAGTTACAGTGGAGTATGTTAGAAAAGACCTGAATCTTTGCAAATAGGGAATCTGAGCAACCCCAAGCCATGGTGGAAATGAGGGATACAGTAGACTTTTTTAAGTCTTTTTGGTCATCTGGGCATGGACCTCATTCCTAAGTTTGGGATGTCTCTCCTTTTGAGAAAGAGCCTGTCTCTCATCAGAGGAAGCTTGTCCAGCCTTCTTGTCATCCAGAGTACATGACCTCACCTCAGCCTGTGCAATCAGATGCATTCATCGAACTCTGAATCCAAAGCTGTGATACAGAAACGATGCAGGTTCCTTTTCGCCAATGGAAGGCAGTGGTGGCAGCAGCTACATCTGGTTCCCTGAGACAGTGGTAACACATCTAGTTTCTAGAACCCAGAATCATCTGTCCCAACCCTGTCATTTTACAAATGCAGTGTGGAAATAATTGAAAATCACCCAAATGAGAACAAGCAAAGTCTGTTTATTCAGAGCTTCCTCTAGCGAGGGAGTCAGCTATCATCACCTGCATTTTGGCAGAGATGTCAAGGCAGACAGAGGAGTAGGAAAGTTTTAAAGCTGGATGAAGAAAAGCTTCAGGTATCCCCTGACTGGAGGCTGTTTGCATGGAGAAGTTGTAGGCATGCTGACTAGAAGTGAACATCCTATGTGATTGGGGTTTATATATTTTACTCTCTCTGGCCGATTCTAAGTTGAAAGCAGGGACAAAAATCAGGGAAGCTGTCAATTATTAATCAAGTCCTGCCCATTTGGGGGCAATTGTTAAAGGTGTTATTGCTTCCAGGGCTCATTGCTGGTGACAGTGATCTTACTTCCTGCGAGTCTGACATAGTGAGAGCAGGCTGGCTTCCTAGACTGGTTACTGTAGATAATGGATTGGTTTCCTCGGCTGATTGTTGCAGATTGTGCGTCAGAGTTCTATTTTTAGATATGGCCTGGCCACTATCTGTTTGTATATTCAGTCTCTCAGCAGAATATGTACTCCTTCCAGAGAAGGGGAGTGGCCTATCTAAGGTCTAACCGCTAATATTAACCAGAGATGACAGGTCAACCTGAGATTTAACATGTTTATCTTGTCATCTCCAAAGGAATTTATGCTCTGCTTGTTGAAGAAACAAGATTTGAACCCATAGAGAAACAAAATTCAGCACAGATGTCACAGAGGTAAGTTGCACCAGGAAGTTAATTGTTAGTGCTGTAGCTTGGTAGGAAGCCTCGTCATTTGCCTCTGATAATGGCCAGAGCTGCTACTGGTCAGGGACTTTCTATGTACTGGGCATTCTACCCATCCAGCAGAGTCAGGGGGTTAAAAGCATAGCTCTCCATTCTTCCCACCTGCATTCATATTTTATCTCCACCATTGGTAGTTAGTGAACTTGAACATGATATTTTACCTCTCATCTTCAATTTCCTCATCTGTAAAATGGGAATAATAATGGAAATATCTCATCATGCTCTTGTGCAAATTAGATGGGTGGATATTTGTAACACACTTAGAATACTTACATTATAAGTACTGGTACAAATTAGCTATTGCAATCTCATTTAGTCCTCATATCCATTCAGTCTGGCAAGTAATATCCCCACCTTGCAGATAGTGAGAGTCAGAGTCAGAATGTTTACTCATGTCTCTAAGAAACAAAAGCTCATTATTCCTTTCTGCTGTGCTTCTGAATACAAGATGCCATTGCTGGGAAAAAGGACAAGAAAGTCCAAAAGTATGTAGGGCTGTAGTATCAGACCACCCACATTCATATCTTGGTTCTGACTTCTATTAGCTGTAAAACCTTGCACAAATTACTTACCACTTGTGAGCACACTGTCATTTGCAAACTGGTAATAAGATTAGTTGTTTTAATAAGACTAGGGTTGTTTTAAGGATTAAATAATGTACTATATGTGAAGTTTCCATTACAATGCCTGGCACATGCTAAGTGCTTAATACTTGACAATAATCGTTTTGGTTATTGTAATCAGAAGTGACTACCATAAACCATTCTTCAGCGTTTGTCCTCAATGGTCCCATCTTCGTGCAGTTTTCCCTTAACCTCCAGTCTAGTTTGATGTCTCCATTGTTGAATTCCTCATTATTCAACATTGTTGAGTTCCCTTATGTAGTGCTACAGTAAGTCAAAGAGAAGAGACAAATGACTCAGAGGAGAAGATGGGTTCTGCAGGGAAAAGGAATAGACAGGCAAAGAGGTAACAAGTCAGTGGCAACATACTGACATGGAGTCCCCAAAGACCAAGGCTTCCTATCCTCCAGACTTTCAGAGAGTCAAAAATGCTTCCTGAGGCTGGGCATGGTGTCTTCAGTCCTGTAATCTCAGCATTTTGAGGAGGCCGAGGCAGGTGGATCGCTTGAGCTCAGGAATTCGAGACCAGCCAGAGCAATGGGCTGTCTCCACAAAAAATACAAAATTGGCTGGGTGTGGTGGTATGCACTTCTAATCCCAGCTACTCGAGAGGCTGAGGTGGGAAGATTTGTTGAGCTTAGGAGTTCAAGACCAGCATGAGCAACAGAGCAAGAACTGTCTCAAAAACAAACAAACAAACAAAAACAGGTTTTCTAGGAAGCAAATAGAGTAGCTGTGTCTTTAGCTCTGTGGTCAAACTCAGACATGGCCATCTGGGAGACACCACATCCTTAGCAGATGAAAGCAGCTTCCTCCTTGCCATGTAGCATCCCTTGGAGGTGATGCTACATGTGTTCTAATTTTAGCACTGAGTTCCATGCAGTTGACCTCTCAACTCTGTTTCTTCAGAGTTGAAGCCGAGTTGTTTATCAGATTGGTCAGAGAGAATCAGGAAACATGCAACTGAAAAATCTGATAGATAACGAGTGAAAAGGGTAAAAACCTGATCAAAAACGGGCAACAATAGTGGGGAGTAAGAACTTAACAAAAGCAAGGGAGTAAATCAACGGAACATAAAAGACCACCTCTTCCGTCACCCTGTAAAGTAGATATTACCATTCTGTTTCCCAAAGGAAGAAACTAAGTCCAAATAAAGTTCAGTTTTGCCCCCACAAATTGCTCAGGTAATGAGAGCTGAGTCATGATTTGAACCCATCACAAAAGATCTGGAAAAAATAAGTGTAAATGTTAAAAGGTGGTTGTCTGCGGGTGGTGAGATTATGGCGATTTTAATTTTCTTCTTTATATTTCTGTTTTCTTCCAAAATTTTTTTCTGTTGGGCAGTTGTTACTTGTATAATGAGAGTTATTAAAAGTTAAAGTCATTGAATCTATATCAGGGCCCGGACTAAGAACAGGGAGTAGAAATTAAAGCAGTAAGGAGAGTTATCTTTAGGACCCAGGGAATCAGCCTGAGACTGTTGTTTCTGAGACTGAGAAAACTAAGCACCTAAACTGGGGGTGCACTTCAGAGTGAGGTGGGGGAAGAAGGAAGGAACCAGGCCAGGCCAGAACTCTGGCTTCTCGATGTCCAGGGACACTTAACCGGAAGTGGGCCTGGAAAGAAAACACTGACATAATAGTTGGACACAAAGATAAGGACTTGATCTGGTAACAACCTAAACTCTGAGGCTCGACAGAATCCAAAATGGGAGGGCCCCAAAAGGGGACTCATACACCCTGGGCAAGACTCTAGACCTACACTTTGTACCTGTGTGTTTTTAACCTTTATAATAGAGCCTCATGCCCGTTGTAATTTGTGTTGCAAGAGTATGGGGTGAGAAAGAAAACAGAGGTATAGAGAGGTCAGTGCTCCAAGCTAATGAGGTGAAAGCAGAGATGGCTGAAGCCCCTCACTCTGTCACAGTCGTTTTGAGAGGAGGGCAGTCATGGGGTCAGAGCAGTGTGAATTAGGAGACAGAGCTGAGGACGAAATCTGCAGGAGAGGGAAGGTTCCTACATCTTCTTCCTCAAAGGAGCAAGAGGACCTGGGGTGAAATGAGATTCAAACTTACCCTCAACATGGTCTCTGCTCTTGAAACATTTGCAAACTCCAAACAGATGTTATGCAAAGAAAACTTTATTAGTAGAAATACATGCTGGCCATGCAGGATTCCTGGCTGGAAGATACACAATTATGGGACTGGGGAGTCTACTGGGGATGGTCAGTAAATGTAAGGTAGATGTGCAATTCCACATCAAAACTTATTCCACGACCCATCCTGAGAAGTCATTGGTTCAATTTCAAATATCTCACACAGCATCAGCAATAAGTAAATATGTCCTTAACTGAATACAAATGAATAACCCTCCTAGCCACTCTTCTAGAATTTACAAGTTTTTGTTTTACTGTATAAAAATACATCACCTGCTCTAGTCAGGTTATAAATATAATCTGTGAATTTTTTTAAAGTCTCATGCCCAAGTACAAAAATAAATACATTAAATAGCAAAAAATAAATAAATATATTAACTAATAAATATATCCAATAGTAGAAAGATATTACAAAAATCTTATACAAGTACAGTCTCAATTAAGATGGGGGATGCATAAAGATAATCACAAAAGGAGACAATACACAAATAAGATACACTGTGACCAGTACTAGACTAATACAGTAAAGAGATGGTGGTTTGGGGTCATGCCTCTGCAGGTATTGAGGACTGGAGCTCTTGACCTCGAATACTCTTAGCAGCAGCATCACTTTCCTCCTATTCTGTCTCCTCCATCCATTGCAGAAGAATGTCTAGTTCCCCCAAAGCCTTCACAACTGCTGCCTGAGGCTCCAGCTGAAAGAGATACACACCCATGTTGTTAGCAACTCATGAGACAACATTTGCTCCACGGTTAATTCTCTCTTTTATGTATAGGTCTGCTGACAATTGTGAGCAGAGCATTCTTTTCAAGATGAAGCCCTTGAAGAAGTTATAGAATCTCAAGATCTCACACAAGGAAGGGAAATCATTGAGCTCATCACCCTGGTCTTATGTACAGAAACTGAGGTGCAAAGGGGTAGAGAAGCAAAACTGCTACCTAAGACTCTTGTATCACAGAGAGCAAAGTAATCAAGCTATTTTCTTTAAGAAATGTGTGTGTGTGTGCACCTGTGTGTTTGTGTGTGTGTGTGTAGGGGTTGCCTACTGTGCATACATCAGTTGAACTGATATTGATTATGCCAATCACCTGGCTGATGGTTAGAGATGAAAAGGTGAATGGCACAATCCCTATCCACAGTTGAGTGAGATTGGCAAAAACAGGCAACTAAAATGTAGTGTGGTGAATAAAGGGATGAAATTCCCACAGGATGATGTGGGAGGCCTCTAACTCTGAGAGAAGGAGCCAACACCTTCCTGAAAGTGATGCCCAGGCTGAGTCTTTAAGGATGAGTAGGATTTAGTCAGTGAGGAGTGAATTCCAGGCCTTCCTGGCAGACATGAGAAGGTGTGAAGGTGAGAAATTGAATGGCATGGGTGTGTGTGAAATTGTGAGGTTTCAAAGGTACGTACAAGTGTGTGAACATCGAAAAACTATTGCCTCTGGTTTGTGCAGCTAAAAGATCCAAATGTCACTGTAGTGACTTCTGGAATCATGGCCATTCCCTTTCCATTTCCAGAGCATCACCCAGAGAGGGTACTCTTCTAGAGCCTGGATGGGTGTTCCCTGGGTTAAAGCAAGGGCTGGGCATCATGATTTCAGAGGGCTATGAACCTGAAGGCTACAGGATGTCTAAGAGGTGTCTGCAATATCCATCCCACCCACCTATGATCTCAGTTCTTAAAACACACCCATCCCAATCAATGCCAAAATTGCACATACCTCTTCAAAGTGACTCAGAATCTGGCCGTATTTCTTCATTGCTTCCTCCCCACAATGGCATGTCATGTGGGCATGCTGGGAGGGACCCAAAGAGTAATAGATTATATTACAGATTCTGATTTTTTGCCCTTGCCATTGACATGAAGCAGGTAGAAATTATACTCTTTCACCCACAACCCTGAGGATGCTTATTCCTATAGAGAAGCTCTTTCAGACCTCACATTTGGAATCATTAAGTTCATCATCAGCTAGGAGAGGAAGCTACCTTTTAGGCTCAAACATGGAACTCATTGCTTCTTTTTTAGAAACAGGCAGGCAGTGCTGAAGGCATTTGCCGTTCCCGTACCCCATCTGGCCTCCCCACAACCCCCAGCTGTACTCTAGGAGCTCTATCCCAGAGCTCTTTGAGTCCCCATGAAGGAAAAAAAGAAATTTGAATTCCTAGGTCAAGTTCAATGGTCTGTTAATTGACTGCCCAGACAGAGGATGCACTAATATACTGTAGAATACCTCACCTACAGGAAAAGTATAATTTCAAAGATAATAGAGTTATCATTAATATCAAGTAGCACCTTATAGTTCTTTAGACTTTGCAAAGAGTACTTTTTGTCCAGAGCATATACCCAAAAGTCAATAAAACTGAGTTATTATAACCTATATTATAACCTGTGTTGTAACCTCAACACAGATTATTAGAATTTTTGGACTCAGTTTCTCCCTCCATTAAATGGAGGCAGGAAAGAGAGTTTAGTTGCTAAGCCATTGAAGCTGTGTGCTGAGAGGCATCCTGTTACCCAAGATCCACACTCACACAGAGCCGGAGGTCCTTCTTGATGGTAAGAAAGGAATTGGCGAGGCTGCTGATCTTCCGGAGAGTATAATGGTCAGGGGTCTGGTAGTTTTTAAATACTCTGTCCAGATAGAGTCGTAGCAAATGGCGTAGAAGACAGCACTGATCCGCAGGCTGCAAAAAAAAAAACACAGGTGTGCTGGTGAGGGGAAAGGGGAGAGCAGAGACAAGACCAGGGTGATGGAGATGCTCCCACTCCACACCTCCTCCCAGAGTTGGTCTGGGCCAAGCGCATACCTTTGTGTCTTGCAAAGACTCAGTCCTCCTTAAGATTCTGATGTCAATGTTTCCATCTTTGGCTTGCTAAACAGAAGAAGACAAAGTGAACAAGGATGAGTCAGTGACTGCTGCCAGGGTCTTCAATATCAAGACTTCTCATCCACTGCTTGCCAAGAACTAGTGGGAGGTGTCCTTTCCCAAAACATTTTACATATTTGAACTACAGTTATTTCTTGGGAATACACCCACACCCCCGCCACCCCCCGCCGGATAAGGAGTCCCCAGCCTGCCTCTTTTCATGATTACACTGTCAGGACTGCCAGGAAAGAGAAACGGACAAGGAAGGAAGAGGCTTCCAGGAGAGGTAGATACCCGCTTACGTACCACACTGCCCCGTATCTCAGAAAATCCATTTCGTATTTCCTGAAGGTTTGTGGCGATCACACAGCTTCCCAAATTGAGTGTCTTCAGTCCAGTGGAAGGAGTCCATAGGAGATAAAACGCAGCAGAGAGAAGGCTGAAGGCAAGACTAGAGGCTTTCATCTTATGCTTGAATTCTGGAGACCACAGGAGCTAGGAATTCAAAGAGAGCATGACTTACTGATTTCCCCTCCTCCAAGTGTCCACGGGGTGGAGGGTAGGGGGACAGGGGAACAGAACAGCCTTATCTGGCCTCAAGCAGTGTGGCCCATCCACATAACTTACTAAGAAAAACTGCCGAGCCTCCCGTGAAGAGAAGCTTTCAGATCTGAGTTCAGAGTCTGAGTGCAAGTTGGTGCCACAGGTCGTGGCTCCTTTATTCTGTCCCCATCCTGGCTCCGCCGTTAGTGCCCAGCAGGTAAGGCCTGGAACAGCAGGCACTTGCAGTGACTAGACAGAGGATGACATTTCAGGGGAAATGTCAAAACTTGTTTTAGGGGATTGACGCATATAGCCTCCCCTTCCGGAATGCCAACGTAGCTCACCCTTCTGGTCCCCTCAGACCTACAGGGGAACTGGGGAGAAACGGAATCTCACTGAAGCTGTGGCTGCGCCATGGAAAACACCTGGGGGGAAATTGTCTGGATTTTATGGCCACCCACAGGGCAAATAAACTGAGCTCTCTTTGGCATTTGTCTGAGATCAGATAGGTTATTTGAGAATAACAGATTCGCTTAAGCCCCAGAGGCAAATAGAAAGTCAATGATTTCATAACAAGCCTACTGCCAGGGAAAGGCAAGACGTGGATGGGCAATCAGCCTGATTCCACCTAACCCTCAAGTGTCTGGGACTCTACAGCGTCCTCTGCAGGAGGACTGTAGTCAGGCACTCCTGGGTGGATTCGAGAGTACATCCTTTCCTGGCCCTGCAACTCAGGTCCTAGACCAAGCAAATGGTCCCAAAAGTCAGAGAAGAAAGGCAATGACGGAACTCTTTATTCTTGTGTGAGGCTCCTCAGTAAGAGAGCAGGTTAGGGTGTTTGCTGAATTTTAAGATAAAATGATAATGGGCTGGGGTTAGGGTAAAACAATTGAGGCACTCATTTTGGGTGCAAAATTTAAAGGAGCACTAAAAAACCTCAGTAATCAAGGTAAAAATATTTTAATGCAATATCAAAATGAATTTAAAAGTTTATGAGGAACAAAATATCAAAATTTTAAATAAAGACAAAATTCGACTGTGCCATGCTGAGCAATATTGAAGCAAAAGGAAAAATATGTACCGCTATTCACATGTTTTCATGTTTCATTCTTAATGGTTAACTTTGTTTCTCAAAAGTATATAATGAAAATATTATTGATGAGTTTCTTTCCCTTAAAACCAGGACAGTAAAATTATAATAAATTTTGTTTGGGGCATAAATAAAATATTTAAACTTAAAGTCATGAGTTGTAATAAACCTACTTTTTAATTTTTCAATTTTTTCAACTACTTTAATATTTTTGAAAGAAATAACATACATAAAATGTATAAAGACATATATATACATACACATTATATATATATATATGTATGTACACATCCATATATATATGACTGGCTCCATAGCTTGGCACAGCACTGATAATCATTATCACTTACTGAATTTTTCCTATGTGCCAGGCAATATGCTAGACATTTTTTACATTTGTGACCACTCGAGATACTGTCAAATGTAGGAAAAGGAAAAAAGCGAACCAAACCCAAAAGAATCAGAGAGAACTCTGTGTTTGGAGACAAGAGAGCTGGGTCCAAATAAATCCTTGCTTTACTAGTTCCCATTGATGTGGGTCATTCCAGTTTACCCAGGACTGAGGTTGGGGGGTGGGGAGTGGTTCCTGAGATACAGAAATTTCAGTTTTAAAACTGGAAAAGCCACAGGTAAACTGAATGAGTTGGCCACCCTACCTCTGTGTGATCTTGGACAAGTCAGCTCACCTCTGAGTTTCATTTTCTTAACCCCAAAATGGTGATAATTAAACTTAACCCAGAAATTGTTTTGACATTTAAATAAAATAATCTATGATTTATACACTTAGTACAGAGTAAGTGATCAATTCATTTTAAGTAGAGATCGATATTAGTTGTCTTGAACTAACAATTTGATGAGCATTTAATGAGCACCCACTGTCTTGAATGTTGTGCTAGGTACTGAAGTACAAAGATAAACATGATGATTATTTGTCCTCAAAGAGATTTTGTCCTCATGGAAAATGGTCCTTTAGATGTAACCTTGAACAAACCTGGGTAAATGATTGGGAGAAGTAGGTGATCCCCAGAACAATGTGAGCAGTGTCAGTAGAGGGTAAGGTCTCTTACCTGAGCTCAGGAAGGGCTGCTGCTTCTGGTCTCCTAGAAGCCTGTTTCAAGTTGAAAGGCTTCCAATTGTTTGTATCTATATATATATATGTCACATGAAGGAAGTGAGCTCAGGCAGGTGAGGGCTGGAACTCCCTTGGAATTTCTCTGGTGGCATTGCTCTTCCTTAAGCGCTGCAGCAGCTTAATTGCAGGACAGATTACCCCCACACCTTCCTCCTGGAAGAAGCACTGCCTGAGGGGATTACTGGTCGTACTGTGGATAAAGTATGTGCCTCCTTCTGGCTCCACCTTCCTGCTTGGTAAAATGATAGGATAGAGAAGATCTGAGTTACTGAACCAAAAAGAATTCGGGGGATTCTCTTGCCCTCTCCTGTAAACCCAGTTCCCCTTAACCAAGTTTCTCCGCAACTCCAGACACTTTGGGCTCATTCCTGCTGTTTTTCCTCAGCCCTTGCTATCCCCACCATTGCTCTCCAACATGGCCACCCTTCCCTCTAGTCATCATTAAAGAGGAGACCCAAATCTTTTTTCCTGAACAACTCTGGGCTACACCAATCCCTCCCTTCTCTGACTTTCAATAGCACATTTTTTCTTTGGCAGTGAAAGCATCTAATGTTGTCCTCTGTTTCATGGAACTTGGTCTTTTCTCCCAAGTGACAATGGAAAATTTTTTTAGGTTGGGACTAGTCCATCATGTAGGACCATGCTCCCGGACAAAATTAAATTCAAAGAACCTGGGATGAATTACAGACAACACTTTGGAAATCATAAAAGTGGTAGAGACCATCATATGTTCTTTATCAACTTTTTAAAAATTAAATATCTAAAACTCTGAAGTCTTATATTTGAGTCCAAAGATTCCACAGTTTAAAGGATGACTTTGACAAATGATTGTGTCTTTCTGGATCTCAGTTTACAAATCTGTAAAATGAGAGAAACAGACTAAACAGTATGCAATGTCTTTTCCTGTTCTGACATTCAGTGACTCTTTGTGTTTCTACCTTTTGGATCAGAATGTTCTTTTCAGCATCTTTTGATATCTTCTTAAAGTTTCCTGAAAATAAAGACCATGGCTTTTTATTGTAATGCTTGATAAATGTTGAAAATATGTACAAATAGCTAATCTAAATATCTCTTAAGCTACTTAAGCTCATGCCTATTTTTTCCATCATTGGTGCCAAGTCAACCATTTCTCATGATCATTCTTAAGTGTGATTAAAGTAAAATTGGGAGATGTGGTCTGATGAGAATAGTTGAAATCAAGATTTTCAGTAAATCTAGGTTTGTATAAGCCAGTCATGTCAGTCAATTCCTTTTCATTACCTGAGAAGAACCCAATTGCATTGTTTTAAATTACCTGTAATGATTAATTAAACTTAGTATTCACACAAAATCCCAATTCTATTTTTTTTTTTTTTTTTTTTTTTGAGACAGAGTCTCGCTCTGTCACCCAGGCCAGAGTGCAGTGGCGCAATCTCAGCTGACTGCAAGCTCCACCTCCCGGGTTCATGCCATTCTCCTGCCTCAGCCTCCCGAGTAGCTGGGACTACAGGCGCCCACAACCACGCCCAGCTAATTTTTTTTGTATTTGTAGTAGAGATGGGGTTTCACCATGTTAACCAGGATGGTCTCGATCTCCTGACCTTGTGATCTGCCCGTCTTGGCTTCCCAATTCTATTTTAATCATCAAGTCTCCCCTTTTCCTATCTCAAAATACTTTTTTTTTTTTTTGAGTTTTTTTTTTTTTTTTTTTTTGAGACGGAGTCTTGCTCTGTCGCCTGGGCTGGAGTGCAGTGGCGGGATCTCAGCTCACTGCAAGCTCCGCCTCCTGGGTTTACGCCATTCTCTTGCCTCAGCCTCCCGCGTAGCTGGGACTACAGGCGCCTGCCACCTCGCCCGGCTAGTTTTTGTGTTTTTTAGTAGAGACGGGGTTTCACGTGTTAGCCAGGATGGTCTCGATCTCTTGACCTCGTGATCCGCCCGTCTCGGCCTCCCAAAGTGCTGGGATTACAGGCTTGAGCCACCGCGCCCGGCCTTGAGTTGTTTTTAAGACAGGGTCCCTCTCTGTCTCCCAGACTGGAGCGCAGTGGCACAATCACAGCTCACTGCAATTTCCTGGGCTCAAGTGGTCCCCCGTCTCATCCTCCAGAGTAGCTGGGACTACGGTGTGTGCCACCATACTTGGCTAAGTTTTTTTTATATTTTGTAGTGATGGGGGTTTCACCATGTTGCTCAGGCTGGTCTCAAACTCTTGGGCTCAAACAATCCACCCTCCTCAGCCTTCCAAATTGTTGGGATTACAGGTGTGATCCCACACCCAGTTCAAAATACTTCATTCTTTTAAAATTCACTGCACACATTCCATATCACATTCTGTACAGATACCAACTTACCTCATCTCCTCTGCAAAACTTCCCCTGCCTCACCCTAATCTCTCTCTTCACCCCCATTTCCCAAGGCGAAACTGATTCCTCACACCGTTTCACGTTAACTTTACCTTGTATATTGCTTTTGTATTTATCACAGTCAATTACAATTTTTTAGTTGCGTGTCTCTATCTCTCACAAATAGAGAGCTCCTTGTTCATCTTCTTGGTCCCAGCACCCAAACGCTCCTGGTAGGTGCTCAGTGAACATTTGATGACTATGGAATGAATATATTGATTTCTCACTCTTCCTTCTTTCTGCTTTGTTCTAAAGCATGAGCTCTATTTTTAACTTATGAGGGGACCCTGGGGCTCCCCTGACACACATCTTCTCCAGTAAGTCCTGGAAGGTCCACAGATTTTTTCAATTAAGGAATTCTACCTCAATGGCTAGAATTCCCTTATCTAATGATAGACTGTTCCTCCTGGACTGTTAGAGCAAGAAGTGAGTTTTAAGAACAACAAGTCTAATTCCTTCATTGTATAAATGGGGAAACCATAGTTCAAAGAGGTGAAGTAACTTGCCCAAGGTCATTCAGCTGGTAAAAGGCAGACCCCAAAGTTGTATTCAGCAAGTGTTCATTCCACTACATGACACACTTAATGCATGAGAAACTCCTATAGTAAATAGCTTTTCTTAAAATGAGACTGAGAAGGAAGCTTTTCCCATCTCATAATTCTGGTAGAAGAAATGAGGCTTCAGTGGAAACAGGGTAGAGGGTATTAGCACTGAAGATCACATGGGACCGAAAGCCAGAAGACCCAGTCCTAATACTCACTTTCTCACCAATTTTCAGGGTGAACTTGGGTGACCCAAGTCTAGTTTTTACACCTTTCAGGAATTCAGAGTTTCATTAATAAAATGGAGATAACACCTACATCATCTGTCTGGCTCATCCAGTTGGCAGGAGTTTATATATATATATATATATATATATATATATATATATATGCATATTTATATAAACCTATAAACACAAAAGATCATTTTTATCATCCTTGTGTCTGATAGATCTTAAAAGCCATCTTTTCAATAAATATTTATTAAATGCCTACTATATGCAAGACACTGTGCTGAATGCTGTAAGGATTGCAGAGATGCCCCAGGCAGGTCTCTGGCCACTGCCTGCCTACAGCCTTGGAGGATAAGTGGTATGCTTGCAGAACCAAGATCAATACTGCTGAGCGCATAGAAAGTTAAGTGCCAAGGGGCACAGAGGAGGGCACTATCACATAAGAGAGCTTGAGATGAGCCTTGAGGGGTGGGCAGAATTTAAATGAGCAGAGATGCTGGGGAGGGGTAGAGAGGAGGGTGACATTGAACAAAGGACATTCAGAATAGAAATGAGAGGACAGAAAGACCCACAAGGTACTTGAGGACTGGCAAATAGATTTGTTAGGCTGGAGCTCAGTTTCATGGGGAGAAGCCATGGAGAATAAAGTTGGAAATATGGCTGTAATATTAACGACCAAGAATACCATACCAAGGAATATGAATTTGACCTGGGAGTCTAGAAACTTAAGTTCTAGCTCTAGCTTTACCTTCACCTCATTGTGTGATCTTGGTAAAATCACTTCCTTTCCTTATCTGTAAATTATGGGAAAATAAATTAAATGATTTATTAAACCCCTTTCTACTTGGCTTTCTTAATTCTGTAATTCTTGACTTTTCCCCCTTAAGGCCATAGGGCCACTAAAGACTCTTACAGTGGGGGAGAGATGTGGGAATAGCTGTGCATGAACCATGGGGTCTTCAAGGGCAGCAAGTGCTTGGCACCTTGCTAGTGCTCAAATGGAACAGATGGGGGATGCAGCTGTGTTAGAGAAGCCAGGGGTACATTTCATGGGCACTTCAAGCCAACTTGAGAAAGTGAGGTTCCAAAGCCGGGAGTCAGGCTATAATCAGTGCCAGTGGCATTGTAAAGGTAAGCCGGGCAGAAGGAAGAGAAGGAGAATCCCTTCCTAGGAAACAAACTTAGCTTCCTAACCAAGCCATTTTTGGGCAGGAAACAATTTTCTAGACAGCAAGGAGAAAATCCAGCCGCTCCTTTTTTTCCAAAGCAAGACCTGAGTTTGCAGTGCAGGGTTTTCCCTGTCTAGGACGTCACAGTTGCTGACATCTGAGCTTCCTGCCCAGTTGCATCACTTTGCAGGGAAGTACATGGGCCTTCAGTTCTGCTGGAGGAAAAAAAACCTCAGTTCACAAGGTGGGCAGGTGAAGGCCCTTGCCACTCCCAGGCTGGTAGTGCTGGGAGCTTTGCCCCGCCTGCAATTCCAGCTACCTTCCTGGGAGACAGCAGGGTGGGATGGGCGGGGTAGCTGACTATCAAAAGCGTACATTTTCGGTTCCTTGTCCTCAAAGCTGCCAGCATGAGTGACGTCATTTCCCTTTCCTGCGTTTTTTCATCATGCTCTGTTTAACCAGCTCAACTTGTTTCCAGGCTTTCTCCTGAGACTTCCTCTGGCATAGCCGGATCCCCAAAGTTGGTTAATTCCTCCCGCCCCCTGCCTGCAGAGCAAGAGACACTGGGCATTTATTTCCTCCTCTGGAATTGGAGTTGGGAACAAAAATCCAGAGAAGGACTTGATTTAACAGTTTCTTCACCTGAGAGAGTAAGGATGTACCAGTTACTTTCCTTTTATTTTATTAATTTATTTTTTTGAGAATGAATCTCACTCTGTCACCCAGGCCAGAGTACAGTGGTGTGATCTCTGCTCACTGCAACCTCCGCCTCCTGGGTTTAAGTAATTCTCATGCCTCAGCCTCCCAAGTAGCTGGGATTGCAGGTGCATGCCACTATGCCTGGCTAATTTTTGTGTCTTTAGTAGAGACAAGGTTTGACCCTGTTGCCCAAGCTGGTCTCAAACTCCTAGGCTCAAGGAATCCACCCGCCTCAGTCTCCCAAAGTCCTGGGATTACAGGCGTGAGCCACCACGCCAGGCCAGTTCTTTTCCTTTCAATTTCACAAACAAGCACAGAGAGTCTCCCATGTGTGAGCACTAAGCTGGATTGACCGAAGGGCTACCAAAGTGGAAAAGACATGGTCTCTTGGGATCCCCCTCCATGGGACCTCATAGCGTCATGAAGGCAACAGACGCTCTAAGGCAGGAGTTCTTAACTTGGGAGAAGGTAGATGGGAAGACACTACATCTTTTCTTTTTGCTAACCCCTAATTGAAATTCAGCATTTTCTTCAATTATAAGCATAGGCAACAAATACAAACCACAATAATATTAACAGTACCAATGACTTTGTCACTGATGGAAATCACAAATATTTTTGTATCACATTACAGTGGTTTCAGGTTCTCAAAATATCACTTATAGTCATTACTACTTAGAAATGTCAGCAGTTCGTAGGCCTACTGCTAGATCATGCATTAATGCATTAGTAAAGAAGCACATATATATTACCTATTTGTCATTTCCATATTTTGATAGCTATATTTTACTACTACTAGTTTCCTTTATAACCCTACTTCTTTTATTTTATGCATTTAGAAATATTATTCTGAGTTCATAAGCTTCACTGGCATGCCAAAGGAATCTATGGCACACAAAAGGTTAAGAGGCCTTGCTGTAATACCTGTGGGCATGGTGACCACAACTCCCCAGTTGTGACACACAGTCTGA